TATTATTATTATATATACAATGAAAGAACTACCACAATAAATTAATGTGGGGCATAATTATCTTCTCAAAATTATTTTCTCTCTCTAGAACTCTTTAATAGTAACTATGTAATTTACACTATCCAGTAGTTCGACACTGCATGTGCCAGGTTTTGTATAAGGAGTGTTTGGTTGATAGCCACAATCAGAATTATGCCTCATAATGAACACAACTAAACCATATGGTCTTAATGTGATCTTGGGATTTGGGAGGACATTTAATGGTCATCCAATTATATCTAGAAATTAGTTCGATTGTTCGAAACCGATCTATTCTCTAAATATTTATAGTAAGATCGGTAGAGTAGCACAGTATCCTGAACACCAAACTAATCACCGTTTGTAACTCTAAACGCTTGCCTAGTCTCTAGATATTCAAAGCAACATATCTAAACTAATTGATGTTTCAGCATGGCAAAGTATAGCACACACCCCTAGCATTTACTATATGGTACAACATGGGGACACCCACTGTCCATTCTCTACAATGGACAGTGGATAATAATCATTCTCAACAATAGAAAATATGTAGGCACAATTGAATATCATCCATCTGTCAACAAGAATGGTCACATGGTACCCCATGGTGTACCATGTAGCACATATCAATAGTTTTTTCCATGCTTCTTACATTCCTCGTTATATTTCCTAACGGGTTTTGGTGAGTGGATAACCCTTAGGCAAGAAAAGGCAGTCACAGTGCAAGAAAATTACAGGAAAAGATGAGAAAGGATGTAAAGACATGAAGTCATAAAAGCACCAAAAATGCATGTTCAGCTATGGACTCCATAGAAATTCCTAGTTCCAACATCCAGAGGTTAGTCCGGTACCAGAATAAGTTGATCTACTTTTTGGATCTCATGATAAGATTCAGAGACTAGTTCGCTTATTCTAAGCCCATCTACCCTTTGGATATTCATAATCAGATCCGTAGAGCAACATTGGTATTGTTTGTTTTGCTTTTTATTTAGCCGCATGTAATGGTTTGTAGATCAATGATTATACGGCATTGTCTTCATAAAAATAAAAAAGATAGAAAAGATACCAACATCCAAAGGTCAGTTCAGTACGAGAATAGCTGATCTACCTCCTAGATCTCAAAATAAGATTTAGAGACCAGTTAACTTATTCTAAGCCAATCTACTCTCAGGATATTCATAGTCAGATCCATAGAGCAGCACTGATACTATTTGCTTTGTTTTTCATTAGGCTACGTGTAATGAATTGTAGATCAATGACTAAACGCAAATTGTCTTCATAAAAAAAAAATGATAGAAGATAAAAAACTTTTCTTTTGGTATTTCAATACCGATTATTCTAAAAACCAAACTACTCTTTGGAAATGCAAAACACCTTAAGTTTAGTACGGTACGAGAAAGGTGGGCTTATCTTCTGGATTGCAAAATAAGATCTAGATTAGTTTGGTTTTTTGCGAACTGATCTATTCCCTGGATATTGATAGAAAGATCAAAATCATATCCTCTTAAGGAATGGGTCCATGGCATCAACAATATTGGTGGGGGGAGGGTAATAGGAACATTAAAATCAAATCCTCTTAACAAGTATATGCATAGTAGAAATTGGTGTGTAAAATAGAATTAAATCCAAATTTGAACCCAAAACTGTTCATTCTTGTGTCCACCGCCAAGTAAAAATTTTATTTTTTGGACCAAAATATCCCATTTTAATCCATGTTTCTCTTTCAAAATGTGACGCCCAACGTGAGTTGATTTAGCACAAAAATGTGTTGGATAGGCTTCTTATCTTAAAAAATGTGCCAGGCCAGCGTTTTCTCTTCAAATTGTGCCTGTCTGGCACAAAATGTATCAGACCTTCTTACATTGAAAATTGTCTTTAATTTCCTTTCTTTGTACTGCTTCTACATTATTTATATTAATAACATTAATACCAATATTTTCTTGTGTAATTTTAATACTAGTATTCATAATATAAATATACACATTATATTTTATTATTTATCATTATTAGTAAGACTTATTATAATAATGTGAATAATGTTCTATTTTAATGATATTATATTATTGACATTATCATTATATAATAATCTCAATTTTACTATTCTTCTGATCTTAATGCTTTAGTTTGTACGCCCGTGAACAAACTGTCTGGGAGTTCTCTCTCATTCTCTTTAAAAGTGTCATTTTCAATCGAATTTAAAATTAAAACTTAGAGACTGTCTGTGGAGTTTTATGCTCTCTCTCTCTGTGTAAATATAACCATAATACAGATTAATCATGTAGCTATAATGCAAATTAATCCATCACACCTATTTTTCTTTTTGTAACTTCTAAAAAAAATACGTCTCCCTTTTCAAAGATGACATGGAGGAAATCAAAATACCCACATTAGCTATTTGTATATATCAATTGCACTCCTTAATGAGAGATTCTTAATGAGGGATAATATCACAAAGGAGAAAAGGTGTATAATCCCCTCTAAAATCATAATTCCAAATATAACCCTTGGTCTATAAAATCCTACAAACCCCCTCAAGTAGAAAGAAGGTATACATATTTTTCATTTTCCAAATTGAGATTGTATACAATGAGACTGTTTACCTTTAATACAGGGAGGTCACAATTACTTAAAATCATCCAATGTGAAATCTGATAGCTTGGGTATGTTACAAAGTTTGAGAAATTTTTTTTTGAACTTTGAGCTTAATCAATGAAATAAATGCAGCCACTCAATTTCATATCCAATAGTCAAGATTAATTGTGAATTCCTTGTACTAAAGGTAAATAATCTGATTATATACTTTTCCTTCCAAATTATAATATACATCGTTTTTATTTTTTGTAGTGACCCCTTCATCAAAACCTTAGAAAGATCTCTCCCTTTTTTTTCTCTCTTCCTGACCCATTAACGTCTTCCTCCTTCATTCTCTCTCACAATTTTCCTTGAACCCTCTTCTCTCTCTCATCTCGTGAACCTCACAAATAAGTTAAAAGAGATATCTCAAATCCCATTTATATAATGGGTCTCCCCGAATTTTCAGCTTAAAGATAGAGAGAGATGACACAATTAAAGAGAGAAGCATTAGAAAGAGAAATGACACTGGTAGAAAGAGGAGTTAGAGAGAGACCAACATAGTAGGAACCTAGGGAAAGAGAGGATTTAGAAGAGCTAGAAAAAATGAACATTTGGATAGGGATGAGAGAGAGAGGATACAACTAGAGAGAAAATGAATGGTAAGAGAGGACTTAGAAATAAAAAAAAGCACGGTGAGAGAGGATTTAGAAAGAAAAAAGGCATGATTAGAGAAAGAAAGAATTTAAAGAAAAAATAGATGAGAAACTTAAACAATATGAGAAGCAAAATGTGGGATGAATGAACTTCCAAAGGGAGATTAAAGCTACAAGTACGAAAAAGTGGGATAAATGAACTTCTATTCCCTATAGAAATTTTAGGTGTTTTTCCTTAGAAACTTCGAACTTTCTAAAGTCAATTTGAGATATCGCTTCTTGTTAGCAAACCAAGGTTTTGAAAAACACTAATCCAGATCAGAATCACCCTATCAGGATCATGAATCAAGGGGCCCTGTGCTGATTCCCTTACTATCTCAAAAACTGGCCAGTTCTTTTTAGAACTAGAGCCTAGTTCTCTAACAAAACTTGTCGGTTCTTCCAAGGAACCAGCCAGTTCTAGACTCAGCCCAGTTTCCACTTTTTTTTTAATTATTTATTTAATAATTTTTAAAGTTGTTAATTAAAAACAGTGGCCCACTCTTCATTTGAAATTGTTTATTTATTAATTTTATTTTGTTAATGAGCATTTATCTTTTCACACACACTCCCTCTTTAAATTGGGTTTTACATCTCTCTCTCTCAATTATTGGATTTGTTCCTTTCACTCTCTCTTCAATATTGGACTTCGCCAACTCTTTCTTGTACATAGTTCAAGGTACACTCATGGCACGTCATTGTATATCTTTATCAATGAATGGTTACTGAATGACAATGCAAAATCAGCACCTCTTAAAAGTCCATTGTGTACTTGATATTATTCACAAAACATGCAACATATTTTCGCATAAGTTTGCGTTCAATCCCATAATCCAACTTCCTAGGGTATTAAAATTTTGTCAAAGTATTGTACCAAACTTTCCATAAAAATTAGTATCAAAATAAATGTACATAGATACTCAGACAAACAATGGTGTCCCAATATTTATGTATTTTGTAAAATAAAAAAAGTCCACAATGCATGCCATTTTCTTTTGAAAATCAAAACAAACAATATTTATAACAATATTTAATGCTTTTTTGGAGTTTTTGTATAGTTGGATCAGGAGGGATCAGACAGTCCCTAATCCAAACTGCCGATCCGGATCAATTTTCGGGTTAAGCATTCCAGGTCACCGATCCATTTTTTGCCAACACTGCAACAAAACAAAACCAATACCGAGTGAATTAAAGCTCCAATTACGAGAGGGCCTTCTAAATCCCCACCAAATGGGTAAACCTGGGTCTAAGAAATGCACTCTGCAAACAACCACAAACTTCATTCAGATTTGCCATTTCACTGTGCTATGTGCATGGACCTCGTGCAAGAAGCTATCTCATGGTTCCAAAAACTCAGCCGAGGCAACTTGCACTCCATTATGGGAGATGCGAGTTTTAGCCGAGTAGATTGTACAATATTTTTTTAACTTAAAATATACTATTAGTCGACTTTATTTTAGATGTGTTTGAATGGCTTATTGGGTAGCTCTCTCGTGCCCCAATCAAGGCTTCTAATCTCAAGCCTGCCCACTTGCAAGTTTATATATAAAATATATATATAATAATTTTTTTATTTTTTTTAAAGAACTGCTGGATTCAGACAAGTAACTCGGACTTGCCCGATTAAATCGCCTCGACCAGATCCAAATAACTTGGCTGAGCCGATTTTTTTTGAGTAGTGAGCTTTTGTTCACTCACACATGCCCTCGGAAAGAAACCATTGTTATTCTCTCCTTCAGAAACCATTGTTATTCTCTCCTTCCATCAACTCGATCTTGGAATTATGCATTCAGATTATAATCGATATGGAATCAGCGATCTCTCCCTTTCATTGTCTAGAAAGTTTTCTCACTGTGGAGCCTCTCTCTCTCATCATATGGAAAGTTTCTCACTCTAAGCCCCTCTCTCTCCTTTTTGCAGTCTGCTTTCGTTTTTCTCGATGAATTATGTTGAGTCAAGAGATGGGTTCGAACTTTGATCAGTGTGTTCTAGCTTTTTATCATTGTTTTTGTGCTCTTGTTTCTCTTACTTGCCTGCAGTCCTCGTGCAAATGGTTTCCTCTCTCTTCGCGTGGGCTCCCTCTTTCTCTCTCATCCCTGCTTATTCACGTGACACGTAAGCCCCAAAAGGCCCATAAACTCAGAACTGATACGTGAGAAAGCGCCACCGCTCCTCACCTGTCCTAGAAAAGCCACCACCTGTCGAAACCCCCATCCATTTTCTCTCTCCTCCCTCCCTTTCTCTCTCAACAAAATGCTGGGCTCCTTTAAAAGCTTGCTGCCTGTGATTTTACACGGGCTTTTTTGGTTGATTTTGCAATGGCGCAGCAGCAACAGATTCGGGAGAGAGAGGAGGGAGATGATGATGATGAGAGAGGAAGAGAGGAGATGCCTTTGATGGCTCTGAATCACATCTCCAGGCTTTGCAGATCTGTGGAGAAGTCCATGGAGTTTTACGAGAAGGTGTTGGGTTTCGTTCTCATCAAGAGATCTGAAGTTTTCAAATTCAGTGGGGCTTGGTAAAAATAATAATCTTTTGCTTTTCCATGGCTTTTCTTTATTTTGTTTAGTCTTATCGATCTCAAAGTTGCTGGTTTTCTTTAGTGAGAGAGAGAGAGAGATCTTAAGGTGATGTCCTTTTCGTTTGGTAGGTTGTTCAACTATGGCATGGGTATTCACTTGGTGCAGTCCAAGAATCCACAAGAGGAGATAGATGATACCAAGCCTCTCGACCCCATGGACAATCACATCTCCTTTCAGGTCCTCTCTCTCTCTCTCTACCCCGCACACAAGGAACATCTGTTTATTATATTGAGTGTTAAAAAAATCGACTCGGTCAAGGTACTCGGACCGTGAGATTAGTCAGTGCGACTAATTTGGGTGCCGGTCAGTGCGAGTAATTTGAGTGAGCTGAGAAACGCCTATTGTCCCACAATCCTCTTGCAAGAGGCTATGTTCTCCCTCTCTCTTTCAAAGTTGTTATGTGTTCGGTTTTGGTGCAGTGCGAGGACATGGGTGTGGTGGAAGAGAAGCTGAAGGAGATGAAGATAAAGTATATGAGGAGGACAGTGGAAGAAGGGGGTTGTACCATTGATCAGATGTTTTTCAAGGACCCAGATGGATTCATGATCGAGATTTTAACTGTGAGAACCTCGAGCTCGTGCCTGCTCATTCGCTCTCGTGTTGTCTCGTAAGACTCCCTAGAGACAGGCACACCAGCCTTTGGCCACAGACAACAACTCCATACAATTAGCAGAAAAGAGTAATGGGGGAGAGAGAGCTCCCCCATGTTGAGAGGAAGGATATTAGTGACAGATGAATAGATGCCTTCTGTTTTTTTCTCCTCCAGTTTTCCTTGTTCTTGTATGGTAGAGAGCTTGTAGCCTCTGTTTTTAGGAGAAGTTAGAAGAGAGCGATTCAAAAGATTAGAGAGATCTTTGGACGTGGGGAATTGGCTTCGAATGAGTAGGTTATTTTGCTTCGTCAAAAGGGCAAAAAAAGAAAATAAAAGAAAAAGAAAAGAGAAGAGTGAATCATGTAGGGACAAAAAAAAATTAAAATATGAAATGAGTTAAAATTATGTCGAAAAAATTACATGGAAGGTGGGTTTTGGTTTTTTTTTTTTGGAAAAAATTTTTTAAAAAAAACTCAATAGCACAATTTTAATGTAATTTACCCCATTTAACTTTGTTTTCTCATTTTATTTTTTTTAACACAACTTTTATTTTTTTGACACAAGTTTATACCCCTCAAGGGAAAAAATTGTTTCCCATACACAAATTATTTTGTGAGACGTTAGACTTTTGGACCTAGGAGAGCATATTGCTAGAGCGCACCATCATATTGGCTGGGAGTATAAATATTAGACTGTCTTAAGACAACTATCAGACTAGACTGAAACTGAATACTTGTCGGACTGTTTTTTATATAGTGTCGGAGCCATAGAATCCAATAACATGTAATGTCACACTATTTTGTTATAGTGTTTTTTTGTAACTGTTGGACTGCTTTTTACATCTGTCCCAACTTTATTTTACATGGTGCCAAAACCTTACTACCGGACTATTCGATTGCATTTACATGGTGCTCGAGTCTCTATTTTGGTAGGTGCTATTGCATTTACATAGTGCTCGAGCTTCTATTTTGGTAAGTGGGATACAGAAAATAAAGATTATTTTGGTGGGTGGGATAGAGAAGAGAAAAACGTAAGGTAAGAGGCCAAAGAGGGTGGTTTAGTTATTTTTTTATTTAGTTGGGGGTATTTGTATAGAAAGTATTTTGGAGAAAAAAAGTGAGAAAGGTTGGGTAAGTAATATCGAAAGAATAGTCTTGGGTTTTCTGTGATTTTATTTTTTAAAGTGTCCCTAGGTCATTTTCAAACTTCTTTTTTTTTTTCTATTTTTTTATTTTAAAGGTGCAGATGCACTTGAGGTAGTACCTAATCAGTCTGATGTTTGCATCTTCGTACTGTTGGTGCTTTTTTAAGTAGTCAGCACCGTCAAAGCTTAAAGTCTGACTCTAAGCATTTGGAGGTGGTCCGAGCTAAGTATTTAAGCATTTCGAGGCGGTTTGCGCGGTTCATACTCAGCTCGGAAGCTTCTCTAGTGCTTTTCAGGGCGGTCTAATATTGGCTCATTTGTTTTTCTCAAGATATAAGACGGCTTGGGGATGCCAACTTCGGATCCCTCATACTTTCATACTAGCGCTATCGGTCAAAAAGTTAAAAAATAAATAAATTAAAAAGTAATCTGAGAAGGCATTTTAAGATTGAGGGCATGACGTCCTCAGATTGAGGGACTGTGTTTTTTAAAAATGGTAATTTTGAGGGGAAATAAAAAACGATCGACTTTTTGTGTAATTAATGTAATTTATGCTTAAAATTGGTCAATTTTATAATTTCTTATTTTTTGTATCCAAATATAAATTACTTAAAAAATAAATGAGTAGGTTAGTTTCTCCATGGTTTTTTAGCCTTTTTCAGCTTCTTACTTTGGCTATTTAACTTGCGGAAATTTACATTATCTTTGTTTTATAATACTAAAACTTTTCTTGAAAATCAGACAAATATTTTATAAAAAATTAGCACCGTACTGGTAGTTGTTACAAATCAATAAATGTGCTATGCAATTTGTATGATGTGATGTAGGGGTGATCTTTCTTTATCATTTCTTCTCTAAATAAACGTTAGGCAAAGTATTCAAAGAGACGAAAGAGGTCACAATCGCTATTTGTTTGTCGAATTGAGTGGCTATGAATAGGCCTAAAATTTAAAATAAATTTTTTTGAATTTGTTGATTTTAACTCTGTTTTTTAATGCTTGGGAAACTGTTCTACGACATGTCCATTTTAAACCCCAACTCGTTTGCAAAGCGCAAATCCAAGTGGTCAAACCTCCTCGAGCTTGAAGGCCTCTTTGCCTGGACCATTAAATGACCTCTTTGGCTAGACCATTAAATGAAAAAGTGAGGCAGTCCAGCACGTGCTAAAACTAAGAAAAAGCACATCCCTTCTCTCGACATTAAACTTTTCTTTTTTCATATACAAAAACCATCAAATACATTGTTTAATTTTTTTCTTTTAACACTGCCACACCTTCCAAAAACTTTTCTTACAAAAAAAAAGTTTAAGCACTCGATTACAATCCAAAGAAAACTTCTCTCCTTTCTCTAATAGATATCTTCTCCCAAAAAATAAGTCTCTCCTTTTCCTAATAGATAACTCTTACCAAAATCAGCGCCCCTCCTTTTTTTAAGAGACTCATTTTCTCTCTTAAGTTAATAATCTTATCAAACCCACCACAAAATACGAATATTAAAGAATAAAAAATAATAATTCAATAAAAATTTAAAAAATAAAGACGGCTTTGGCTAGAAATAAAAATAAAAGTAAAATAAATAACCACGACAACTCCTTGTTAATTCTTGTTCCTCTGAATGTAACTGATCGTTTCACAAAAAAAAAAATCGGCACGATAATTTGATTGCATCATTCTCTTCTGGTTGGAGGAAACTCATCCTTGAGTTTTAAAATACGCTAAGTACATTCGTCCCATAACGCTCTTCATCTTAAATAAAAAAAATACGATCCTAGGACTTGTAGATTATTGTACTAATCAAAACACAACGATTGTGCATAAAATTGAGCAACACGTGGGAATGGGTCACTCTATGTTGATAGAAATTGTTCATGCTAAGCCCTTCAAGATGTGTGCTTTCAATGGTTGAACTAACTTCACCGAATGATTCTCTTTTGAGTAGTTCGGTCGTTCATCTGTTTCTTCCTCAAATATCTCCATAAGCTTGATTCCTCTGGGTTTAGGTTGATATCTTGTTTCTCCATTTCTCTATTGATGAGAAACTTAGATATCTTAGCAGCCTCAAAACCAACTTCTTTCGTTACATCTTGTTCTTCATAAAAAATGGAGCTTCACCAAAGTTGGGGTCACTTGTGTCAGCAAGGAATGATGATTCCAATTTAAGATCCAAACCTAATTCAACTGCTTCTTCATCAAACCTCGGTGGATCACTCTTCTGACCATGAGGTTCCCGACATTGAGCGTGCACATAGAACATGTTCTCAAAAGTAGCTTCCAACTCACTATCGTCATCAAAGTATGTCAGAGTTATACTTTGTACCAAGCAGTAGGTCAACTCCTCAACTTGTTTTTTCAAATTTTCTATTTCAATATCTGAGATGTGTTACACTTGTTGGATCGACTCATTCCTGACATTGAGCTCTCGAGCATGCCCACGAGTCATGATGCCTTATCGATGAACACCGCAAACCTAGCTCTGATACCACTTGACGTAGTTAAAAATCACCAGCAATCAATAACATGCAAATAAAATTGCATTTTAGAGTGAGAGAGAGAGAGATTGAGTCAAGTAAGAAGAAATTTGCAAGAGAACACGCACCACAACCAAGAGAATCTGGGAGAATTCTAATTGGTCAATAAAAATACGTTAAAATGCAATTCTTATTTTGATAAATAAATCGATCAAATTAAGAGAATCTTCGTAAAGTGCCTCTTTAAAAGTTAAACATCCATTTGTCAATATCTCTAGAAAAAGGATCTCGTTTTTCATTCTCATTTCCATAACATTGAATTCTATAATTTGCGTTTTGAAGATACAACATCTATAGCAGAACTTGCATCTTGCTTGGGGGTTCTCGTACGTATCCGTGATTCCTATTGATTTTAATCCAATACAAAATTAATTGGTTAAGTGATACTTAGCTTTATTTTGTTTAGTATCAACTCATTTACAGAAGGTGGTGAGATTATATATTGAGCAGGTACATATTTAGGACCCCTAACACAGATAAATACATTACGAGTTCCGTACGTATTGCTTCTAAATATAATTTCATTCTCTCTTCGCATTAAACTTTTCTGTTTTCATTCATAAAAACCTTCATTCATAAAAACCATCCAATACATTGTATGATCTTTTTTCGTTTATAACTGCCATACCTTCTAACGATTTCCCTATGAAAAACCTGGACTCCATAAATTTTAAGTGCAAAAGATAAGCGCTCGATCACCCTCCTAAGAAGACATCTCTCCTTTCCATAATAGATAACTCCTCCCAAAATAAGTGTCTCTCATTTCCTAATAGATAACTCCTCCAAAGTATTATTTAAAGAAAATAATCATAAAACATCTATAATCAACTCTAAAAGATAAACTTTTTTCCAAGAGACTTATCTTCCCTTTAAGTTAATAATCTTACCAAACATTCCACAAAAATACGGATTTCAAAGAATAAAATAAAAAAACTCACTAAAAAATAAAAATAAAGATTTGGCTTTGTCTAGAAATAAAAATAATAAAAAATTAAAATAAACACAATAACTTCTCACCAATTCTTTTTCCTCCGATCGCGATCTAACTACTCCAAAAAAATCTGACGTGATAATTTCAATTGCATTATTCTCCCTAGGTGGAAAAAATCCGTCCCCTAGTTTTGAAATGCGTTAAGATGAAATTTGCATTCGTCCCACAATGTTCTTAATCCCAAATATAGTAAATATGATCATAGGACTTAATGGTTACTGTACTGATCAAAACACAACGATTATGTAGTAAAATTGATAAGCCCTCAAAGAATGGGTCATTGTATATTGATAGAAATTGTTTATGTTAAGCTTAAAACATGTTAAAGGAGCATTTTCGAGATGGGCGGCTTTGATGACTGAACCAACTTCACCCATTGATTCTCCTTTGAGTCATTCATCTTTTTTTCCTCAAATATCCCTATAGGCTTGATCTCCTATGAGTTTAGGTATATATTTACTTCTCTAGAATTCCATTGATAAAAAAAGCTAGATATCCTTGTAT